ACAATTTCCGAACAAAACAGACTTATTAATTCCCAAAGTTCCTCATGTTAACTAAATTTCAGCATTCCTATTCAACATTAAAACACATAATTCATAATCGGGGAATCATCAAATCACAGCAACAATTCAAAACTTGATTTATAGCCAAGAGAGAACATGAATATCGACCAAAAAAAAAATAAATAAAATCCTTAACAGCAACTTTGACATTCAGCTTAAAGAAGAAGAGGAAAGAAAACTTGAGTCATATGGGAATAACAATTTCAAACTATTGCTCACGCGCACATAAAATGGTAAAACAAAAATTAAGGAGTACGCACACCTATAAGAAGAGCTACATTTCTTCAAAGTTCCAAATACATAGTTCCTGTATTTTCCCTTGGTTTTCCATCTACAACTACCCACTTTTCTCTCAATTTTCTGAAAATTTTTCTTCGTCCATCTACAACAATTAAGGCCTTTATTTTTAATTTAGCTCTCAAGCAAGCCAATTCTTCCTCTCAACCCTTCAAGTTTCATGCTTTTTACAGAATGGTCCATTAATTTTCAATATTATTATTTAGTTCCTAGTTAAAATTGGGTTATGACAATAATTGTAATTGTAATTTGAAATTCAAATTTTTTAATATTCAACTTGGACTTAAGACTCCTAATAAAAAAAATAATAAAGACTTTTAAGAATCTTAATATTTAAAAGACTTAATCCTAATAATAATAACTACACTCAGATAAAAAGACTACTTAAAGAATCTTAAGTAATCTAAATAACTACTCAATAGCTTCTTGTTCCTCATCACATGGTCTTCCATCAAAGAGATTCAATTTGATGATATGGAAGAAAAACTCTGGAATTGGCTTCTAAGCTTTGTCACTGCTTAGAGCTCCTTTTTTATTTTTTATTTTTGGTATTTTTGCCCAGTATAAAAAGATGAATTTATTAGCCAGGGTACTTCAACCCACAAAGTTGAAAGTTAACATATGTTATATCTGCCCACACCTATACAGCAACCACAAAACCAACAACTAGCGCCCGACAACATCCATTCCGTGGCGCATTCATTGCAAACAGATAG